GTGCCGAAGTGGCCTTCCCACACTCAAAGTGTGGAGAGATGTGTGAAAATGGTCACAGAAGCAGCGGGCCATGTTTACAGCCACGAGAGGCGAGAAGGTTACATCAAAGCACAAATAGCAAGCAGACTACTGATGACAAGAAACCAAAGCAAAGAGAGTATGAAGGCATTGGTTACTTTCAAATAGACTACGGATAATAAAATATAATAATTTGAAACTTGAAACAGTAACATGTGTGCAAACGCTGGTTATGTTATAAATTCACAAATATGTACATTTAAAAATCCATTTGATGAAGGTAGGACTTATTATAAAAAAAAATTTATGCCAGAATATTGTTTTGCATGCTTAAAGACTACAATAAATAGCTACCAAATTACTCGATTTTCAATTTAGCCAGTTCACCCCCTAAATTGACACACCCTAACCTTCAAGGCATATTATACATGCCGCTCTTTTGGTTGTATCCGTAGTGCCATGGATGAAGACCCTGACCTTGATGTTAGCAAGTGTTGGAAGGAGAACAACATTGTGGACTGCATTACCAACATCAGTGAATTATTCAATGAACTCACACCAGAGAAAGTGACTGCTTGTTGGCACACCTTATGGCCTGAATGTGTGAATAACTTCCAGGGATTTCCGTCCATAGTAAAGGATGTGAATGACATTGTGAGTGTTGCACGTCAGTTGGGTGGTGAGGGGTTTGTGGACATGGCTGCTGAAGACGTGGAAGAGCTAATTGATGGGCATGGAGAGGAACCGACAGAAGAGGATTTGGAAGAATTGGTAAAAAGTGCTGAGGAAGATGAAGAGGAACTCATTATGAAATTACAACAAGAAGGTTGGAGCTTGGAAAATTTTAGTGAACTACAGTAAGATCTCATATTTCGTGCGGCTTCATTTCGCATTTTTGAATTTCGCGAGCACTACTTTATATAACCAAGACTTATATTTGGCGTAAAATATTGTAAGTTTCACGAGATCCTACCAGCTGAACGCGAGATCCAGCAAGCTGAATGTTGGCCACTGTCTTGAATGACGTCACAGCCATCATACCAGTTAGAGTCATTTAATAATAATAATAGTAATAAACGGTTTATTAATAATTGCAGCCGGTGGCTGAAAATATACAAACTTACATGTGATTTAGACATAATGATATGCATTCAATACATTTACAGGGCTGTACAGTACATAAATCAGGAGTTGTTTATTATTTTAACAATAGATGGGATGGTGCTACTCTTATATCTATCAGTGTGGGCTCTTATGGGCTGAATTTTGTTGTAGTGGCGGACTGCGCGAAGTGGGCTGCCGGTGGCAGGAAGTGGCGATGACGAGGATGGTGCAGTAGTCCACTGCCAAACCTTGCTAGTGCTTGGTGGTGGAGGTCAATGAGGGATGGCATTTCCAGGGTGGAGAGAGCGTTGTTGTAACCGGAGTAGTCTGTGCCGAGCATGATTCTGCAGGCCCTTTTCTGTACCTTCTCTAGCTGACGTTGTTGGGTAGAGTTGAGAGAAGACGACCAGGCTGGTGACGCATATGTTAATTTGGGGAGAATAAAGTCGCTGTAGATGGTCCTCAGCTCTGGCATGGGTGCCCAAAGTGACCTGAGTCGTCGTAGCATGTAGAGTCGGTACGAGGCTGCCTTGATTGTGTTGTTTACATGGGCCTTCCAGTCCAGTTTGTGGTCTATGGTAACACCCAGGAGTTTGGTAGACTGCACTAACTGGAGAGGATGGGCACCCACTGTAACTGCTGGAGCTTGCACTGGAGTGGTGGCGGTATTGATGTGCATGACTACGGTTTTGGTGTGGTTGATGGTGACCTTGTTCTCTGTAGTCCATGCCTGTAGCCTGTCCAGGGTGCCTTGTAGCGATGAGTAGTCCGGTGAGGTGTTGCCCACTGTGACCCCCACAGTGCAGTCATCCACGTACTTCCACCTGTGAGGAGTGTCCGATAGAGCGTCGTTGAGGAAGCACAGTGGTCCCATCTTGGTCCCCTGGGGAACACCGCAGGTGAGGTGTTGGAATGTGGAAACAGAACCCTGGTACCTGACTGCCTGACACCACTCACTCAGGAAATTTGTGTTGTCAACATGAATTGGTTGTAACACGATTGATGAATAGGGGAATGCTGTTTGTAAACTGCGAACTTTTGCATACGAATGTTGACTATAGCGCGATTCCATCCTCAACATTTTAAACCTTGTGCGGGGTTAAGCAATGTTTACAGTTCATGTTCGACATCACATGTTCAATTGATTCGTGTCTTTTGTTTGTGAAGTGTTTTTTGAGAGGTACTCTGAAAATTTTGTTCTTTTTTTTGCAAATTTAGCTGTTGCCCATAAATACTGTATGAAAAAAATAAGAAAAAGAATGTTTCGCAGTGAGGACTAATAACGGTTTACACCAGCGCTCTCTGCTTACATCACGTGATCAGTTGAATCGCGTGATTTCTGTCGATTACTCTGTGATTTTCGATTTTCTCTAAATTTGTTGTGTTAGCGATGAATATGGAAAGACAAGGTAAGAAGAATGTTTCCAAGAAGCATTTTGGTGATCGAATTGCTGGTGGTGAACGTAAAAGAGGTTCACAAGACCACAACTATTGCGCTGTAGCCCACGCCATCCTAGCGACTGCCTGGGCTGCTATTGTGTGCTTTTATGGGTGGTGTTACCACCTGTTGAGTCAAGATAATGGCCTCTACCTGTACTGGGGGTCCTACTGGTGCTGGTGGGGGTGGGAGAGACCCGCCTAAGCGGCCAAATAAGGAAAAGGAGAAGCGAGACTATCATAAGGGAGTTAAGTTTGCCAAGTACTCGATGCAGGATAAGCAGCGTGTGATTGAGTTACTTGAGGAAGGCTCAAAAACTAGTTTCCGGAGAGAGCGGAGCAGTGAGTGAGGAAACACCAGCTGTAGCTCTCTCCCTCAGTGTTTGCTTCTACACACACAATGATTAATTCCCTTTATGTTTTTGACCTTATGATAATTATTTTATAATGTTTTAGGCACATACTGTACTGTGTGTGGTGCACATTTAACCAGCCAAGTCGTCAGATATGCTATTGACAAGTATATACAGGGCTGCCTCACTTTTCGCAAATGATACGAGCATGAAACTCGTTGCAAATATCGAAATTGCGAATAGTGGAGCAATTTCTCCCATAAGAAATAATGTAAATAGGGGGGATACGGGTGGTCACGGCCGTCAGATTTTAACACTTGTTTTACTCAATACATATATATCATAAAATAAATAAAGAAACAAGGGCATAATATCAAATAAACATCAATAACAAACACTTTGAGTTAATTAGGCGTATATGTTTACAAAAACAGTATACTGTACTTTACATGTTTGAGTGTGTGAGTGACTGAACGTTTATGTGCGTAGGTGTGTGTAATTTACCTCTGATGTGCTGTGTTGCTTGCTTGCTGAAGTTGGCATTAGGGGAGAGGGTGAGAGGAGGCTGGGTTCGTCAGCCACCTCACTCTCCTCACTGCCAGGGTCGTCAGCCACCTCACTCATTATCGTTGTCAATTTGCACTGAAAGCTGTTGTTCTCCACTACCTTCTGTTGAATCATGCGTTGTGATAAAGGTGTTTTAAGGCGCTGGGTCTGGTCGTCAATCCACGTGCTCAACATCCGCTCCATACTTTCATCTCAGCATCACGGAACCTCGTCACCTTCGTAGCCGTCAGTGGTGTTGCAGACCCGGCCATCTCCTTGATCTCGCCAGCACTTTTAACCATAGAATGCACCGTAGAGGGAGCCAAGCCGTGCACGTGCCCAATCACTGACGTTCCTTCTCTGTGTTCATATCTTTTTACGATATCCAATTTCACGTCCAACGTAATTGCCACATGTGATCTCTTAGCAGCATTGCTGGGAGTTTCAGGAGCTGGTCGCTTAAGCATTGCGAGATCACATAAAACACAACTGCGAGATCACACAAAACACATGCCAGCACGTGTGAGACTGAAGTGAGTGGGAGCGTATAGCAGAGGAATACGTACACACGTATACACGCTGTCTTACGCTACGGTTGAGGCGCGCGGTTCAAAATTTTTGCTCATAAGAATTTGCAAGTAAACGGTGCAACCATTGCAAATAGTGGAAATGGTTAACAATAAATTGATTGCGGATAAACGGGGTTACGAATACCGAGGCTATGAATAACGGGGTTTGCCTGTATAACCAATTAACCATGTACTTTATGGGTGATTTAAGGGATTTTCAAGGGTAATTTTTACAATAAGCGTTAAGCCTTTATGCGCCCTCTTCAGAATGAAACCAACCGCGTAAGACGTGACACAACAGTACATGAAAGATTTTTTTTCTGATTTTATACAAGAAAAGGAATCGATATTTTTTCGTGATATTATACTTTTTTTCTTCAGATTCAACATTTATCCTGATTTAAAAAGAAAAGAAAAGAATTCTTTCTTTAACAGGACATTAAATTTTGACTTTGTAATAGATCTTCGCTTGGCAATGAAAGTAAAATTGTACCCATACAAAGTTAAAATGATGACCACCTTTCAAGAAACTCAAGTCACTATTAATATGGTCTGGAAAGATACACTACACATCTCACTCTTGTCCAAAATTCATAAAAGTGGTAATTATCATCTCTGTTGAAGTGATTCTTCTTTTTTATCAACAGACAAATGTAACTAATTTGTCACATTTGAAAATTAATTAAAAAATTGGCATAATAATTGATCTTATACATAAAGTCACTCAGGTATGGCACAAGAGCAGATAAATCATCAAGCACAAAATTCAAGCACTGTGGCATCATCTCCCAACAGCAACTCACTCTGCTACACCAAGCTGAAGAACATGCCAGGTATTGTCTGAGGGCAGTGTTGCCACCCCACACAATACTGAGGAGAAAATTATGTAAATGTTGCCATTGTTACAGCATTCTCAGCTTTTGAGAGGCAGCCTTAGCAATGTTGTAGATGTGTAGCTTCCATAACACATTACCTGTTCTTCAGCTTTCCCCAACATGTTCATGGCTCTCATGTTCACATTCTTGGACAATTTAGCCTTGAGTTCTTCCAGTTTGGTGATCTTGCGTCCAGCTTCCACAGGATCATTAGCAGTGAAATCATAACCAGTGTTGGGCTGTCCGAAGAATTTGCGATCTTCAACTATCCACTCGTGTTCTGATAGCATCTGGGCCACCTAAAATATAAACAGTTTGAAATGATGGCTAGCAGGCAGGCAGTCGAATTACACCATTTACAAATTGACAACTCTGGTATAAACGGTTAGTTATCTAGGTAGATTTTATCAACAATTTTAAGATTTTTTTTTCTCTGAATATATATAAATTTTCATATCCTCCCCTCCCCTTAAAACTCTGGGGTTAGAAAATAAATTTACTTGTTAGTCGTCGTCGTACATCCTCCTCATCCTCCTCGTCCAGAGCCTCTGGTGGTGGTGGGGATATGTGTGTTTTTCTGTGTTGAACCAGGTTATTCGGCGGCCAAAAAAAATCTCGTCCGTCCGTCACAGAACTCACATTCTCACTCACATTTTAAAGTTTTCTTTGAGCTGTGACGCAACTGATGACGGCGAAGGTTCCGTGTACTACTTAAATTCTTGCCATATACGTTACAGCGAAACTTTGCCTCCAGTATGTTCTATGTGGTGAGAATATAATATATTCGGCCAATAAAATTTCTCGTCCGTCACAGAACTCACATTCAAAAGTTTTCTTTGAGCTATGACGCAACTGGTGATGGGTTACTTGCTTGTACTACTTAAAATCTTGCAACATACGTTTCGATTTACTTCGGACAGGGGTAGATCATCGAACTCGTATTCCCCCACTCCTCCTCTTCCTCTTCCTCCTTCACTATATCAAAATCTAGTAATTCTTCCTCCTTCTCCTCTTTAGTTGTAATTTAATTTCATCTTCTTCCTCCTCTCCCCCTCCTCCTCCTCCTCTTCCTCCTTCGGTTGTGGTTTATCCTCAGGCAATTCTACTCCATGTAGCTTGCAGTTATCGTCGTCGTCGTCGTCATCATTATCCTCTGGTGGGGATATGTGTTTTTTTGTGTGGCGAATCAGGCTACTCAACCAATAATATTTATAATCACAGAACTCACATTTAAAAGTTTTCTCTCCTTTATCGCTATGGAGCAACTGGTGATGGCTAAGGCTGCGTGTACTACCTAAAATCTTGCCACATACGTTACAGCGAAACTTTGCTTCCTGTGTGTGTATTTTTCTATGGTTTTTCAGGGCAGTCGGCCCGTAGTATCTCTTCTCACAAAACTCACATTTAAAAGTTTTCTCTCCTTTATGAAGCAACAGGTGTTCGCGAAGGTATGTTGCACGACTTAATTTCTTTCCACATATATTACAGAGAAATGGGGATATCTGGTGTTTATATCTGTGGCGAACCAAGCTATTCGGCCAATAAAATTTCTTGTCACAGAGCTCACATTCAAAAGTTTTCTTTTAGCTGTGACGCAACTGGTGATGGCGAAGGTTACTTGTATTACTTAAAATCTTGCCACATATGTTACAGCGAAACTTTGCTTCTTGTGTGTGTGTTTTTCTGTGTTTATTCAGGGTAGTCCGCCCGTAATAGTTCTTTTCACAAAACTCGCATTTAAAAGTTTTCTCTACGTTGTGGCTCAACCGATGTTCGCGAAGGCTGGTTTCATTACTTAAAATCCTGCCACATATGTTACAGCGAAATTTTGCCTCCTCCTGTTTGTTGTGTTTTTTTCTTTGGTTGCGATTCAGGGCTTGTCCGAGAAACTCGCTTTTTTTGTCGCTGTCGAGATAAATCTTCTGCAGTAACCTCGATCTCGTCAATTCGTCCATAATATTAGCAAATTGATAACAGCAGCAGCGGCGGGAAGAGAAAGAAGGCAAAGGCAGGCATTTTTTTTTACCAGCCAGAAAGGTACCGTGGTAGTTTATATTTGTGTTTGGTTTGTTAACAAACCAACAAAGAAGCCAGGCCCAGGCTACCGACCGATACCCTCGAGGGCGAAGTACAGACTAAGTAGAGGACGGAAACACCAACACCAGCACCAGCACCATCCTGCCTAGACCTTTTTGAGGACGGAGAGTTTCTAAAATTTATTTTTCAAGGATTAATTATGTTTTAAGATTGCTTCATTGAAGCATTTACAAAGTAGAATCCACTTCCACCCTCCTCCCCTCCTCTCCTCTTTTCGGTGGTCTGCCGCCGAAAGAGTGAGTACACGTCATTCATCGTCCGTCATCTGAAAAAACTATAAAGAAAAATAAAAAAAATATAGTAAATATAATTTTAAAACCCTTTTTGTGAGGTGAGTATGGGGAATAAGAGATGAGTATTTACTTTATTATTTATAATATCAGATAATGACTGCTCGCTCGCTCTAATGTGAACGAACGGAACGAACTCTTTTTTCTTCCTCGGACAGGGGTAGATCATCGAACTTGCATTCGTCCCAGCAGCGACATCATCATCGAAACTTGCATTCTTCTTCTTCCTCTTCCTCCATAGCTTACAATTATCGTCGTCTTCTTCGTCGTGTCCGTCGTCATCTGATGGGGATATGTGTGTTTTTCTGTGTTTAATCAGGCTACTCGGCCAATAATATTTCTTGTCACAGAACTCGCATTCAAAAGATTTCTTTGAGCTGCTATGACGCAACTGGTGATGGCGAAGGTGGCTTGTACTACCTAAAATCTTGCCACATACGTTACAGCGAAACTTTGCCTCCTGTGTGTGTATTTTTCTGTGTTTATTCAGGGTTTGTAGTCTATAATATTTCTTATCGCAAAACTCACATTTAAAAGTTTTCTCTCTTTTCTCATCGCTATGGAGCAGCAACGTGTTCGCGAAGGCAAGTTGCACTACTTAAATTCTTTCCACATATGTTACAGAGAAATAGAGGTGGGGGTGGGTATATCTGCTGGTGTTTATTTCTGTGGTGGCGAGCCAGGCTACTCGACCAATAAAATTTATCTTCACAAAACTCACATTTAAAAGTTTTCTCTCTTTTATCGCTATGACACATTTGGTGATTGCGAAGGTTGCTTGCACTACTTAACATCTTGTCACATACGTTACAGCGAAACTTTGCTTCCCGTTTCTGTATGTGTGTTTTTCTATGGTTATTCAGGGCAGACTGCCAGTAATATCTCTTCTCACAAGACTCACATTTAAAAGTTTTCTCTTTCTTGTGGCGCAACTCGTGTTCGCGAAGGCATGTTGTATTACTTAAATTCTTGCCACATATGTTACAGAGAAACTTGCTGCTTATCTCGTGTTTAATTCTGTGGTGTTTATTCAGGCTAGCCTGCCAAAAAAATGTCTTGTCACAAAACTTACATTTAAAAGTTTTCTCTTTATCACTGTGGCGCAACTCGAACTGGCTTTTTTGTCTTTGTCGTGTAGCTCTTCTAACGTTGTAGGTAGCAGTAACATTGTAGTGACGCATAGAAGGTGATAAGACAGCCCCTCAGACAGCTCTCATAGCGAAAACTGGATATCAATTCCAATATAGCAGTAGAGCAGTAGTAGTTGTCTTTCCAGAGTTGAAGCTGGCTAATCAAACAGGACTAATAGACAGTCCTCATGCAGCTTTTCCCTCCTCACTACTTGGTCTTGATACCTGCTTTATCTTTGAAGGGGTTAATGCCTGTAGCTAAATTCCAAATATAAATTCAAGTCATCCATCCATCAAAGACAATGATGTTAGTTTGTTGGAGTAAACCGATTTAATATAGTCCGGTTTTTAAGCACTATATACACACTGCATACGAGGGGTAACTGGCAACTTGGGCATGACGGTTGCCACTTAACACCAAGGATAAAGAATAGTCTATTTCTTATTTTGAGGAAAGTGTTTTAATACTATTTGTGACAATATGATCCCATCTCTCCTTGTTAATTATGACATTTGCTCCGCCTCTATAGAAGAAGCAATACTCACTCCCTCATGCGGCTCCATTTTGATAAAAAGGAAAGTCACAGTTTCACAAATAAAACACTTATTTCTGTAGATTATTATTTTCAGCCTAGCAGACCAAAGCCATTACTTCATTCTCCCCGACTTCATTTCACTTAACCTTCCATTTTTTTTTTTTTTTTTTTGCTTGCATTTTCATTTTATCTTATTTTCTTTCTTCTTATTCTCCTTCTCCTCCTCTTCACTTGGTATTATCTTCTTCCTCTTCCTCCCTCTTCATAATTAGCTACCTCCTCCTCCTCTTCATAATTATCTTCTATTTCTTCTCTACCATCTATCTCCTTCCCTTCATTATTCTCCTTCCCTTCATAATTATCTATCTCCATCTCTTCGTTGTTGTCTTCTTCTTCAATTTCTATTTCTTCTCTCAGCGAAGCAGATGAAATTTAGTTTAGTAACGGGAAAAACACACCACCACGCAGCGGCGGCGGCGGCGCGCACGCGCACCGGCGCTCTTTTCTTTGGCTGCGCGCGAATTTCCTCCCTATTGGACTTTCTGTTTAGATTTCTCCAATAGCTTTTCTCGACATTGTCTTGCATTGTTGGTTATTTGTTTCCTACCATACCATGGTTGCAATCAAAATCAGGACATTTGATGACGGTACCAATCAGAATCAAAATCACAACGACGACATCCAAGCTCTGAAAATTGGCAATCATTCAGTCTGCTGTTCAGTGGGTGGGTGATAGGGAGAAGAGAGCATTAGCTCTGAGGGTGTTGCACTTTCAAGCATTATTTGTTAAGCTTACGCCTAACTATATACGCTCTAAGTGATGGAGTCATATCCTGCATCAATATACTCCACCCTTTTTTAATCAAAATGTTGTAAAATATAACTCATCACTGAGGGATTGACTCCCTTTTAATAATTTATGTCGGGTTTACCAAGTTACTAAAATGTTGTTTTAAAGTTTTTGTTATTTATAATTTTAGGATTCTTTCTTAAAGAAGAATTAGGAAAACAAAATAAAATAAATTGTGTATTTACCAGTTTCCAATAACTTATATATGATTGCTTTGTTCTTGTGTTGTTGTTGGTGGTTGCTGTTGTTGTTGTTGTTATTGGTTGTTGTTGCGGTTGTTGTGGTGGTTGCGGTTGCGGTTGTTGTTGTTGTTGTTGTTGTTGTTGTTTTTGTTGAGATTGTGGTGGTGAAGTTTGTGGATACATCCTATTATTATAATACAGATAGGGATG